CTACCTACGCACGTTCATTAATCACCGACAAGACGACTGGGCTGATTGGCTAGCCATTGCCGAATTCACGTACAACAATCATCTCCACTCTGCGACCAATCAGACCCCCTTCTTCGTAAATTATGGTTCTCACCCTCGCAAAGGGACCGGTCAGAAGCCTTCCGGACGTTCGCAGGCTGCCGAAGATTTCGCAACCTCTATGACAAAACTACACGAGCAAACTAGGCAATCATTATTACTTGCTAATCAAAACCTCAAAAAGTACTATGACCGAAAACGCACGGAAGCACGGGAATATCACAAAGGGGATAAGGTGTGGTTAGAAGGAACTCATATCTCCACCGATAGACCGATGAAGAAGTTAGATGACAAGCGATTTGGCCCGTTTACGGTAAAGGCAAAAGTCGGCCCATCCGCTTATCTCCTTGACGTCCCTAGATCCTGGAAGGCGATCCATCCCGTATTCAACGAAATCCTCTTATCACCGTATCACACGCCGGAGTTTCCTAATCAACCTCGTACCTCGAAACCTCCGCCGATCCAAGTTGATGGCGCAGCCGAATACGAAGCCGAAGAAATCATTGCTTCTCGGCCCACTAAACTCAAAGGGGCTAAGCTCGATTACTTCGTCCATTGGAAGGGATACCCGATCACAGAGAGGACGTGGGAACCCGACCACCATTTGAAAAATTCCCCTTCACTTATTGCCACCTTCCACCGCAAACACCCTGCCGCCCCACGTGTCATCGCCTCTGCCGCCTTACGATTTCGTCCATACGAAAATTTCACTACAACAACCGAAAAACCCCGCCTTTTCGACTGGATCACAAACCGCTTCACGGACTGCGGCGCTAAGATTCTTGGGACAAGAATATAAAAGGGGGGGGTAATGTAAGGACCGTTTTACTATTTTCTTATCTTTGTTATGTCTTGGTTCTCAAACGCTTTTCCCGTTACACCTCTGGCTCTAGGGCTAGAGGTATCCTTTGCCATCTTACTTCTCATAGCCCTCACAGGCTTTCTTAACCATCGCTACCACTTTATATCACAGATCAGAGACTGGGCATCGCTCCCAGCTAGCCAGCACACTGGGTAGGGACTGGTAGTAGGCATCTCGCCAACCAGCTCCAAGCCCTAGTAAAGCCTGGTAATACTAATAAACGCCTTATCTAGAATCGTACCTCATCATGAGGATACGGTTCCTGACCACGCGTAACAATCTTCTATTATTAGTACAAGTCTCTCACCTGCTGATTAATCAAGTCAGAAGTCGTACGATAGTTACTCTCCCTTTTTCCTATTGGTTGATTAATTCCTCAGACCACTTTTCGTATATTCTCCTTTCGGTCTGAGGAGCGGACAGTTCTCTATATAAAGACGTACCTATTCATGTATAGCTCCTTAGCTTTCTATTACTGAATTTACCCGCTTTACTCCTCAACAAGAACCTTTGAAGCTTACCTCTCAAAGTCCTCTACTCGCTATATTTCTAGCGTCTGTCGACCTCAAAGCTCATTGGACCCTTACTCCCTGCAAGTGCAGAAGGAGATAGGTTTAGTTTTTGTTATAGTTTATCGTTGCCTCACATGATCTACTTCCGAAAAGTATGTGTCAGGGTCTTCTTCCGGATCAAGGAAGTCAACCTGTCGTTTGCATTCTTTCGGGCATCTATCAAAGTTTAACTCCGACTTCTTCCAATCTATAGTGGGATTGTGCTTTGTTAACCACTCATGTCCAAGGAACATGCGACCACTCCCTAAGCTTGTTACGGCAAAGTGAATGTTCTCTTCGTGGTCTTCTATGCTCAATCGTAGTTCTATAAATTCTTTGATAGCACCATCTTTGTTAAGTGTGCCATCAGCGTTATAAACTGGAATGGGTCTCGGTATTTTCTTTGTTTCATAACCTTGTTCTTTTACGAACATTGAATCTATACAGCTCCCTGTGCATCCACTATCTAAGAGAGCTTCGATCGTCGTTGATCGGTTTGTGTCAAGAGTTGTGAGTTTGCAAGTAATGTTCATCTGATTTCCTTGCGTTCCCCTAATATATTTCTTTGGGGTGTGTAACTCTAATAGAGCGAGTTCAGCATCATGTAGCGTTAATGCATTTAACTCTTGTATCGTCTCTATTGTGACTTCTTTGCTTCTCTTTTGGTGCGTCCAGATGTTGAGAATACCAATGGATCTGTCTTCCTTTTGGTCTCGTAATCTTTCAGCAACCCAAAGTGGCGTCCATGCCGCTGTCAGTTTCTTTCTTTCTTTGTGGTCTAGGTTTTTATTAGAGGTGTTCCTGACCTCTTTGGAACTGGTCGAACCATCAGTTACATCAGTGCTTCCCAATTGAGTCACTGCTTTCTGTGGTTCTGTTGTTTCCAATGAAGTGCTGCCCGATTGAGTCACTTCCTTCACAATTTCTTTAATTACTGCGCTTTCCTCTTTTGAGTGCGCTGCAATCTCTTTATCTGGGATCTTTCTAACCCGTTCCCTATTCAGGTTCACATCTTTTTTAGTTTCTTTTTCTTTTGATCTTAGATCTGCTGCGTCTTTTGCTAATGCAATTTCATTTTCATGATCGATATAATATACAGTAGACGGCGAGCAAGAATCTTCGATCGACAAAGAAGAGAAACTATTATGGAAACTATTGTCTTTAGGCACAGCCGGTTGATGTGTTACCGCTGACCTCTTCAAAAACCCTGAAGGATCTTTGCTCTTTCTTCCGCACTCATCTTTTGCAAGAACTCTCTAACATTGAATTGGGGTTTTGCGTGCGCCTCTTTCTTGCATTCGAAGGATCGGTGTCCTTTTTCTCCGCACCGGTAGCAAAGCCCTTTCTGTCGGTACTCCGCTTTGTCGACCTTCATCGGGTCACCGGCTTGGGTATAAAGGTACCCGCTACCGTCCTTCTTTCTTTCGACCTTTGGTTCGGTCTTTCCTCCTCCGTCTTGCTTCTTTTTCTCCGTGCTCCTGAAGCTCTCCTTCTCCGCCTCTCTGTGGCGCCACAAGTAGTCAATGCGGATCAACTCCTTTTTCCATTCTTCGTAGTTGGCTGGCTCCCGGCCGCCGTATATCACCTGATTGACCAGGGGTTCATTCATGTTTCTACGTAAGAGTGAAATGAGGAAGTCCTCATTGGCTGCTTGGAGGTAGTTAGCCTCTCTTCTCAGTTCTTCGAAATGTTCGAAGTGCTTCTCTGCCGTGTTTTTCCCTTGGCGCAAGATCATGATATCATTGCGGGCGGCGAGTTGCTCGTGAACATTCTTGAACCGAGTCTCCATTTTGTGGGCGAACCACTCAAAACTTTCGTAAGTGGATTTGAGGTTTTCTCCTCGCATCCTCTTTTCTATCTTCGTCTCCATCCACTCCGTTCTGAAGGCAGCCGCTGCTCCTCCTGTCATGAAAGAAAGCACATAGGCGATCTTTCTCTTATCATCCGCAAAATACTCCTCATCATCCTCGTAGTTTAGCATTAAGGCCTCGCGGAAAGCCTTGTACTTCTTTCGGTCTCTATCGAAGTTCTCAGGCTTCTGGAGTGCCGTTCTCGTTCTGTCTACGCGTCTCGGCTGCGTATTGGGTGGCGTGGGTGCGGATGCGGCGGGAGCGGACGTAGAAGAATTCGACGTAGCTAACCTCAGCTTGGCTAGCAATTCTTCTACTTCTTCTTTCGCCTCTGTCAGCTGTGTTTCGTAGAGGTCGTGGAGCCGTCTCTGCTCCTGTTCTATTCTGGCCTGAACGTATTGTTCCAGTCCAGCTTCCTTCGATGTTGGTGCTTGTGGTTCCAGGGGTGGGAGTGCACCTGACAATTCTCCCATTCCTATCTCTGATGTGTCCGGCTCTTCGCGCGGACCTCGCCACTCTCCGAATGCTGCTGTTGTCATTGTCTGGGTAGGGGGTGTGGTATCGGGTTCTGATCGGTTCTATTTCTGGGAATGTGAAGTAAATTTCCCAAGCTAATCTATTCTCGGAGTGAAAGCGTTCTTCTGCTAGCCACTCTTCGAATTTCCCAGGTTGCATACAAAAGAGTTCCCCGATGATAAGTCGGATCAACACTTTCTAATGTAAGCTCAACCTGTCTATCTGTTTCCTTCTTTAGTCAAGCGGTTCCTCTTCTGTCCCGCACTGACTGTGTACGTAACTAATTCTAATCTGATATATCGGTGTTCTAAAGTATAGTAACTGAGGTCCAGACGGTTGTCTCAGTGATACCCAGCGAATAACCGCGTGCAGGTCTTTTCCAACTGGTGGACTCAAGTGAGCGGCCTGGTCAGAAGGGTAAAGAAGCTCTTTTAAACTAAGTAATACCTATCGGGCTCCACGCCGTCAAGGGTTCTAGCTAAAGGGTTGGAAGGGGGAGTGAGGGGGATATCGACAAACGACTCTGTGGGTGAGACGTTGGCAGGGAAAAATGAAACAATGGTGGATGGTCGGGTGATAGGTGTGATGATAGTTGGTTTGGTGATATAGACGTAGAGTTTGGCAATGCCAAAGAGTATGATTGCGATGAGAGGGAATAGGGTGATGATTAGGATAGCTGTGCTTTTGCTCATCAACAGGTGTCGTTCCAAGTTGTAGATTATGTAAAGACCCTAGCTGTTATGCCAGTAACCCGAGCAGCATAGGACTTAAATCACACAACAAGTGTTTGACAAGCAAGTATAAGAGTAAATCTACAACTGGGGTATGTACATGGATATCGTGCTAGTTATATAGAAGAAGGCATGAGGCTACGGTGAGGTATGACGTAGCGTATTGGTAAGTAACATGTGTAATGCGTGAGGCTGATTGGTAATGAGTATTACTAATGTGTCACGTGATTACTAGATAAGATAAGATCAAGGAGAGATTAGATAAGGTGAGATAATAGTCTCTATCTCGCGATTAGATAAAAAAGATGAGTCACATGGGTACGATCGTGACAGTAAAGCACCAGACCATGAAAGCTGGAGTCCCAGGCTCAAGCCCTGGCCAATGCATGTTTTCTCATACTATAAACAAATGTCATAATTTGTCAGTATCATCCTTGCCGTTGGAATCTACAGAATTTCCACTGTCTTCTCCAACGTTGGTGAGCTCTGCATCGTCAACCAATCCAATTTCCTCCTCATTCAAAGTCTCTGTCAGTGTGGGTACCATCTTAGCATGCGGCTGTTCTCTCTCCTCTAGTGGTGTATTTCTCGCATAAACATGCCCAGGGGCTAAACCCCACTTATAGCGCATGAAGATGGAACCTTTGTGACGTGAGTTTTTGGAGGGGCTCAAAAAATATAATGATTACGTACCGATTGACATAGTAAGTTTGATAATCCTTTGAATCCTTAGCGGACTGTGACAGACCAACTCCATCTGGATGTGCTTCACCCATAGAGAATCCAGGTATGATATGACAACCTCGGAGGATTTCCGCTGTCATGCACCAAAGTTGATTGGTAGCATGGACAGGTGTCAATAAAAAAGCGAATATTCAAAAAGACTCGCCTTTGCGCCACACAGGCACAGTGCCACATGGAATAGTAATTAATATTGCCCTTTTCGAACTTGTGGCTGATCAGCACCACCTCTATTAGGCAATCCAGTCACGCTCACCTTTGCTTTTCCATCCGGTACTTTCCATGTTTCGGCATTTCGGAAAATTTTCGCATCGCCACTGGCTACACATTGCATTGCGCCCTCGCTTTTGTCATTTCCCTTACTCCCCTTCCTTTGCCTAGCCCCACCATGGGCCCCTTCCTCTCCTTTTTATTCTCACCTGACGGTCGTTTCTGGATCCCCATTCTAATCCACTTTTTCGTCACCTCCACCCTCCTCCTCCTCATCTTATTTGCACCCCCACCATTTCTGATGTCACCACTTCTTATCCGCTTCCGTCGCCGATCTGTTGACTACCACGTGCCACTGCTGATATCAGCAAAGCCCCGGCGGCCGGTTCAAATAGGGCAACAGGTCCATCTTTATGACGTCGATCTACCATCATATACTATCAAAACATCAGTCGCTCATCTTGCCTGGTTGGAGCGTGGGTGGGTAATTTTTGAGCTGGAGAAGGTTCATCCCCTTGCGTCGCCCATGTTCATCGCTGTCCCATTCACTTGGGTACACTTATCTTTTGTCCATCGTCTTCGCTACAGCTACACCTATCACACGCTGCCTGGGACTCACTTGTTCCAAATTGGAACTACTCCTCTCCCTCCCTCGTTTGATCAGGTGGTCCAACACAACCAGTCCATTGGTAAGGCCATGGAACTGTCGGATTTGGACTAGGTGGTGGACCGGTGGCTCCAGTTTCTTTTTCTTCAGCAGAACATTCATTTACAGTGTGATTATTTTTGATTTTTGAATCATTTTTATGGACACATATTTTTTTAGAATGCCTGACTGACAATAAAGGAACTGTGTTGATACTGATAGTGTTTTGCCTTGCCCTTTTTTTACTGCATCTTCCCATGACATCATGATTTTCCTGCTCTCTTTTTGCTATTGGACTTTACTTTATGGCTGTACAAACCTGTGACATTACTCACAGCATTTATTGTTCTATCCCTTTCTTTTCCTTTTTTTGACAATCTTATCCTGTACTACCTACGCAGGATTCGTCAGCGTACATTCCTTCCTTCATATTCTTTCTCATTCTTTTTGCACAGCTATACTGTGCATAGCCTACTTTTCTTTTACTATATAAACCCCTGTATTTTACCTTGTAAAAAAAAACAACAAGAACTCCAATCCAGACTTCTTCTCTAATCTCAAGTTCACTACTCTCTGCTACTTGTGATCCAGTGTGGTCACAACACTTCCCACTGCTACCACTGTTAATTGCTGTCATCGTCACTTCCCACTTTTGAAGTCATTGTTATCCCTTTCGATTAGAGTCCTTCTGAGCACTACAGTTTGTGCGTCAGGAGCCTGCTATCACTGGGAACCTCGTCATATTGTCGTTCTCAAACCTACCTTGTGCTACAATTAGCAAGGTAGTGCTCGTCTATACTCGTCACAAAGCCCCTATCCTTCTATAAATTCAACTATCCCTCCTCCTCAAAACCCACACTCATACACCTCTGGGTTTTACTTTGAAGGATCTTTATACATACCACCCCATGAACAACCAGACCACTCCACTGTTCTAGGAGGCAAAGCCCATAAACAAGTTCCGTGGAATCTGGGAGGATTGTGTGTTAGTTTGTTTTTGTCTGTGGTTTTCTAACAACAGTACTCATCATCGACACCGCCGGGTCAAGAAATCCAAACACATCCTCCCTATCCATCCGTACAAAACTAATTTTTTCTAGGTGTTTGTGGCTGGTGGGGAGTGTCGCTGGCTCGAGTGGTTCGTACCATCTAACCCAAAGAAAATCCAAACAATGTGCTTGGTAGTCGACCATTCCTGGCCCTGTGTAGATAATGTTTGCGTGATAAATACCTAATACTCGAGCATACCAGAAATGGTGTCCAGAAGGATTATCGAGGCCGGCTAGTACCATCACATTGTTATGTGACGTGTTTGAGTTAATGACATCTTGTCCACGTCGAACATTGTACGATGTATAGTTTATTCGCATCGTACTATGACTTTAGATGTGGTTATTCTTGAAGAATATTTGGTCGCTCCCACTCGACATTGTTTATTGTAGAGGGATTGGTGCTAAGGGGAGCTGAGGCCGGGTTCCCAGATTCTGAGAGTATAAGATCCTTCAACCGTGGCAGAACATGACTCCTGAGCTTTGGTAAGAATCCCTAAGTGAAAACAGACGATGTGTCAGCAAACTGGACTAACATGAAGAGTCTGATCAACTGACCTTTGTGGCAGGATCACCAAGCCTACTACGCAAGAATATGTCAATGTCAACTGGATTGTTCTGAGACGTTCCAATAAAATGATGAATGCTGGCTGATATAGATGCATTATCTGAATCGTGTTGTCTATGTGAGCTGAGCAGTTTATTTTGAATCTGACGGATCTGGGTTTGATGACGTTCAATTTTTGCAATTTGTTTAGTAAAGAACTTCCTGCTGGTTTGTGTATAGCAGGCCTTCGGATTACGATGCTCGAGTTCACCCTAGGATAAAAGTAAATTAGAATAGTTAGATTTGTCTTAAATTGTCCAGTAAAACGACACAGCAATATCCAAACTGACTGAAATCCTCAGCAAGGTCACTGAGAGCACAGACTGGCTGTACTTTTGAAAACCCAAGAAAAAAGAACCTTACTGACAATTTGGGTTGTATATGAGTCAGTAGTTCCTAGCCTTTGAATTGTAGTAGTGTAGTCGCCAATGGCATGAATCTTGTAGGTATTGATATTGAAAAGTTTGACTTTCCTAGAGTTATCGCTTGACGATGCTGCTGCATTAGTACCATTGCTTTCCTTGGCCTGTGTTACGATAACACAATTTTCGGACCTTTCCTTCATTTCCATTCTCCGCTTGAACCTTGTATACTTTAGCTTTCACACATGGTGCCACGCGGCACTTCCCCTTTTGTTCAAACTCCTCTTTCTCACGCCGCATTGCCTTCTTGTTATTTTAAATACAACTCTCTCACACAGTGGAGCTGGTCATGCGGGCTAGGCCCCATGACATCATCAGCCACTGACTTTATCAACTGTGCAGTACATAAGTACAAACACTCTGTATTAGTATATATACCCCAATAGATCCAGGAGACTCCTTAGCGAGTCCTCCTATTGTATACCAACAAACTCTCTGCAGCTTAAGGGGTAACCACTCCCTCATCACTACCTTTATAGTGTGTTCTTGCTCTTGGTTGTTACATGTTGTGACATCTGAACTAAACTACCGTCCTCATATTCCATGAGGCTCCAGTCACCATTGCTCTGGAAGTCGCCTTTGCACCAAACAGCAATGACATAGCACTACTTTCAAGATTTTGACCAGGCAGGGACGACTCAGGTTGAGATGTATACTTTGGCGATGACTTCCACATCGCATGCAGACGATCCCACTATCTGAATTGCCCACGCACTTTCTCTAAATGTAGATATTTATATGCTTCCATTCTGAAATCCCAACTGATTCAAAACTCACCAATAGGGTTGCTAAAACCCGACGAAGCCAACTCTTCAGCAGACAATCCAGCACCTGTACCTGACAAGCTGCGCACACACTCCTTATACTTTTTCCCGAGGCTTCAAAAGTATTCATCATGTTGATATCATCATGTCTGTTAAAAATAATATATAAATATGTACTGGTCGAGTCTTGATTGCACTGATTCTCCAAATTGCTTGCGGTGATGGTCAACTGCAATACAAAATTCTTCCTTTGAGTCGTTCTTGAAAACATGTCGAGCAATTCTTCTGACGATCGGGACCCTGACACTCTTGGTGTTCCTCACAACTGGCCGGTTTTGTCCCCTAGCTACAGATAACGAATCAGAAAAAAGCATTTGACGTCACACAGGATGTTTCTCGAGCCAATCCATTATGCGGTCAGTACGTTTGTTTGACCAAGTAATGCGAGATGGAGCTGGGGGATTGCCTTGGGATGCAAGGGTCTGCACTGATCCTGTCTTGCAACTTGTAAGAGTCCTAGCGATGCTGTGGCCTTCACCAGACAGTTGTTGGCTCTGATTGTCGTTGTCAAAGATGTCGTCGATGCTGTGGGACGACATGAGGAACCTCGAGGTTGGAAGCAGGGCTGCTAGTGGGTCATCGGTATGGAGGGGCGTCCCCATCGATTAAGGGATTGAATCGGCGCTTCAATATACTAGCTTTCCCATGAGTATCCGCCTCCGCAAATTCGGGTTTGCGACAAATATTTTTTGGATTTCTATCCACAAAAATACCCTAGGGTTTGAGGTAAGGCCATTCGGGTAGCGATGACGTGACCTGTACAGCAGCTACGCGAAAACAGTCTGCAGCTAAGCGTAGCTATGCGAGGACGCTCTGAACAGAGCTCTTACTCAGGCATTACTCAGTCATTACTCACAGTTTTGATAGAATAACAGGAAGTGAAATTTTTATCAAAAGTGCGGTGTTATAATATCTTATGCCAATTATGAATATGTAAAATATATTATCTGCGTTATAATCGCTGATAACCATACTCCATCACCGACTAACTATACAACTCATTATAATCGTTTTGAGTGCTTACGTGTTTACCAGTATTCATGAATTTCCATCCAATCTAAACTTTGATAATAAGACCAGCCAGGTAATGTCTGACAAAGTGGCACGAGAATCTAGTTTTTATTATACATCTTGTGAACTTGATAAGACCTGATAAGACCTGATCCAAAGTTCATCGAATACCTAATGTCAACGTGCTAATATTGACTATTATTACAGCGCCAATATTATGGTCTTACCATGATAGGATTTTCCAAATGCGCGTAAACTTACTACTCACAAGTCTTAATCAAGCCTCCCGTGCCGCAGTAGCGCCAGATATCGAGCTTCGCGTGTGATTCTATACGCATCTTCATATTGCGATTCAAAGGCGTTACTGAGTCGCAAATAGTCACAGGTCATCTGATGTTATGTGGGTCTAGATTCCTGCAAATGTACATCTCGCCGAACTTTCAAGGTAATCTTTATTACTTGATGCCACACCAACTCTTATGTTTTACGAAAAATTCATGATCTGGCAGATAGTAACCAATTGCCCTGAGCCTAGCTTGAAGTCGCGGCCTGAGAAATTGCGAATTCACCACTAGTCGCGTAAATAATATTGATGTCGCTGCAAACAAACTTTTAGCGTTATTCCTCAAAAGACAAGTAAAAGCTGATTTACTCGGGGGAAACTGCTTCTGCAACATAGTTGTTGCTTGAATAAATAAACAAGCGCGAACGAGTTAGCAATTTCAATTGATGCATTACAAGCGTCTTACCTAGCAGGAACAATGGGAAATTTTATGGTTAAGGAATTCAGGCTGCTCTGCACATTGTTGGCAATAGCTAACGAGGTGCGTAATTGTGCATTGGTAATATCCAAGGCGAAGGTCGAGGGGTCACCGGCCTCAGTTGTCCATACAAAAGTAGCCTCCCCACCTGAAGTCAAACCAATGGGAGTGTCGAGCGTCAGTGCAGAAGCGAGAGTAGGCAAGACAATGGCAAGAACGCTAGACATAACTGTTTTAGAATGCTCATACCATACCTCGAGGGCTCCAACAAAAGACATACGTGATTTTGGCAAACATTTCGTTTGTTACGGCGGCGTGTTGAAGGAGATAGAAGATGCTGAGGAGGATAGAAGAGAGGAGCTAAGGAATGAGCTAAACGTTGAAGAGGCCAGTCTTAAACAAATGGTAAGCACAGCTATGCTATATTCTCACACAGGCCGTTGACTGGAATACGATGCCTGTGGAGGCTACTCCCTCATGATATACAAATACTGTACAAAAGAGGAGTGAGGTTAACTGATCATTGATATCAGCACATAAGCATAGGTTACCTCGTAGCATTTATGGTCTGGGAGCGTCCTCTTGTGGTAACTTTTCAGCTAACTTCGGTAAAGACATGCCGACAAAAGAAATAAGTGGGAGTCGTTGACGTGATCAGTCAGAAATAGGAGGCCATTCGCGACATATAGTGTAGCAACCATATCGACAGTTATTCAGTCCGTTCGTCAGCAGACTCTGTAACAGACGGTTTCACATCTCGAATCTGCCACCGTGGGGTCTCTTGGAAAACGCACGGTCATTGATATCCTTTCTAACGGCTTCCTAAGCCCGGGGAGGAAAATAAACATCCCTCCTGGTGGTGAAATTGTGAGAATTATCCTATTGAGTTGATTATTACAGCCTTTCGTACTGCGGATGAGGTGCGAGATGCTTGTTTCCGGGAAAACACCTAAAGCTGAAGAAAGACCGCTATTAGTTTGTCCAGTATGGGGATTCGCATTCGGCCTTTATTCCTTCTATCAGAAGATAACGTGTTACGGAACCTCATATGATGAAGAGGGCAGACCAAGACCGGAATGGTAGCCAACGTGGTTCGATCAAACCGAAGGCACATATATCCAGGTCTAAACAGAGTCGCCAACAGAACGGTGAAGCGGATTCCCGTCCATCTCTAGCGCCTGTTGACTTTCAGTTCGCAGCAAAGAAAATTATTTATCGGACACTTATGCACCTCTTATGATTTCCCTCGGTTTTTTTTTACCGGCGTAATCATTTGAACTTTCAATAAATCGACCTCAGTAAATACGGAGATTGGCGCGGAGAAAGCTTGTGGGCAGATACTGGTAGGTCCGCGTGGGATTTGAACCACCTCACGTTATTTGTTGAAATAGTCTAGGGCAGTGTAATCTGGTAGATATCATGAATCGAGACAGTATTTAGGTTCGATCGGGGTACTCACTCGTACTGAGAAAATTAAAAAATATGGAATGTCTTCCTTGAAGACGAACTAGAGAATCAACCAGGACCAGGCCAACATAAACGTCGCATACGATGGTATTATCCGCATCACTACTAGCGATTCTCGAACTGCTGAAGTTCCGTGCCAGAGCAGCTGCCATACATGAATGATTCACATGATAGTACGCGAAGCGAGCGTCTAAAGTCTTCATCTCGTCTCTTGATCCAATACATTGTCGCATTGCAAGCGCCATCCTTGCCCATGGGGTAGCCCACGAGTGTGTTTACCATCTATAATAATGACCTTAGAAAGCTACGACCACACAATCAAACGACGTAGTAAAAACGTAGTCCTAAGCTAACATATAGACAAAAACATATCAGAGAAGTACTCTCATACCGTCCACGCATACACCAACAAGACCGACGTCTTCCCATATAGCTGGGTCTCTAACGACCGCCGTGTCCAAACGCGTCCCCAGATAAATATGGCCCACACACTCGCGTGGTTCGCCATCTTGAGCGTACATGGAGCACATGCGATATACGTTACGAAGAGCCTTGTAAGCCAATTGACCCGATATATGCTCAAAAAGTAATCCGCCTCCCAGGTTTTGAAATATATGGAGCAGATAAAACCGGTTTATCCTCTGTAATCTTACCTACAGGGTCAGTAGCGACGAAGACTAGAGAAAATATCGATCCCCTTCAACAAGTGTGAACCTCTAGTCGAGTTGGGTGGAACATTTCCATTGTCGATGTTGGCCTTTGTTTTTGACACGTTCGAATGTAGATGAAGAATCTTATCTGCGAACCGACGTTGAGAAAGCTGTAGCACTTGATAACATATTGCTTGTAACAAACTTGTAGTACAAGAGAGAATGAATCCGATAAACCAGCTCGCAGTGCTTAGGTAAAAGAGGCGCCCACAAACATACACAAACACATGTTCGCGACTCTCGACCAGAAAATTGCATTTGAGTTGCTGTACCCGTAAAAAAAAATGTCGATGCCCCTCGTCGCCCCGCTCTTCCCTGCGGGGAAAGAGCCACTTCCTCCAGGGTTCACAGAAGAAGAGCGCGAGCAGCTAATGCAGGCCAAAAAGTACCAGAACTGGATGACTATGGGGATGGAGTCTTGCGTGGCTAAAACGGCACTGGCTGGTGGTGGTGGTGGGTATCTCATTTCTCGTGTCATCCCCCCGCATACATGGACATTCTGAGTTTATTGTTAGAATGACCTCTCAGGATTCGCTATTGGTGCTCTTTTCTCTTTGATGTCTGCTTCATTCGCGTACGAGGACCCGCTGCTTCGGGCACAAACACAGGCCGGCATGAACTCGGGCCAGAAAGCAAAGGAGATATTCAAGGAAATGGGAAGAGGGATGTACAAGAGCGGTAAAGGTTTTGGTAAAGTTGGTGCATTATTTGCAGGCATTGAATGCGTAATAGAAGGCGTGAGTCTCTTGCTATCGCTTTCACACAGACACTCACAAACATATACCATGGCACACATAGTATCGGGCAAAGAATGATATGGTCAACCCAGTAGCTGCAGGCTTCGTTGCCGGTGGTATCCTTGCCAGAAACTCGGGTCCAAAAGCTGTCCTAGGTGGTGGTATAGCGTTTGCAGCATTTTCGGCGGCCATTGACCTGTTCTTGCGACGAGAGCCCGCAGAGTAAGTCACTTGATTCATATATGATCGTACCCGCTGAGCTTTGTCTAGTGAGGATTAATGCAATATCTCTGAGATGTGAGCTATCTAGACTAACTTATTACCTTTTTGTTGGATTCATGTCACCACTCACGCACTGTATATCTGCACTAATTCAATTTACCAAGTTACGACTTATTCAACGTAAACAGGTTCGGTAGAACGCATACGATCCTGCCTTTGCAAGAGAAGGCCTGACATGCCCTATCAGAGTCAGCTGCTACATACTCTGCTGTCTTCCTAACCATGGCTCATGTCGAGCTGAAATTTGGCGACGTCCTGTCTCGATGCTACATCGATGTCGGTACCGGAAGACCAAAAGAATGCTTATATCGATCGAATTCCGCATCTGTCACACTTTATTAGCCTCCTATGGAGTTTATTGATCACGCTCGGGCGAAACGACAGAAAGCAAAGAGAAAAAAAGTCAATTGAGCTCTATGATTAACACACAAAAATAGACACAAAAACATATGAAGCAGATTACCCTCAAGTACATAAGCTAGAATCACAAAATCAAAATCAAAAATTCCGTACTATATCACCTTTAAATCCTTTCGAAAATTTCATCGTACGGCAGAAACAGCTCTGCCTTGTTGCACCACATTCTCATACGCCGGCGGCGCATCCCCCATCTCGCTTTCCTGGCCAGATATCAAACGTTCATACTGGATATTCCGGTTTGCTAGGGTATCTGTGTTATCAATCCCATTCCTCAGCGAGGGCATCGTCAGCGGGTTTACAGGAGCCTGATTCTCGGCTGTGGATGCCGCCGAGTCGCTCGATCGCCGAGAGGCGACACGGTCAAGCGCTTGGCGCTGTCCGTCCACGTCCTGGGCTGAACACATACCCCGTACGCGTTTGGTCTCACATGGGCAGGATGAGTAGCTGGTGGTGCATGCGTTTTCGAGGGCCTCGGAATAACGCGGTAGCGATACCCATTCGGGGTTACATCGACACTGTAACGGTCAAACAAAGCCGACGGTCAGGATACGTGGCTACTGAGAGCACCGGGTTTTACTTACCGACAGGATATGCACTGGTGTTTGCACCACGATGTCAAACAACTTCTTCTTCCCCGTCTTTAAATCCATTGCTTCGTCGTCGCCACGCTCTACTCTGAAGATGATCTTTAGAACATGTCCGATCATGATACTGCCCTTTTTGTTTCGATTCGTGAAGTGCAGCGAAGCGCAGGAATTTGGGAGCTGCAACTCATGATTAAACGTCCACGGTCCCGGCCCCATCAGCGAGGACGCCATTTCCGAACAGTCTTCATCGGGTTTGAGCAAATCGTAGAATGGCGAATTTTTAAATGCCTCTGGATCATCGGACACAAGTGGAAGAATGGCATCACTATCGTTGTCTTTGTCGCTGTCGCGGTTTCGGAGAGAAAGCAGTGTAACGCGATGCACTGGTTCGGAGCGGGCAATGCGCTTCATTTGGGTATAGTAATCCACTCGCTCTGATTTGTAATATTAGTAAATGGGATTATATGCTTAGGCACAGAGTATTATGACTGCTTACCCTCGAGATGGATGGATATCCGATGGACCTTGGCCTTGGTGAGCGGCAATATGGTAATCTGAATAGGCATGGTACCGCCGATATGGAAGCTACGTCCGGACACTGCAATCAGGTATTGTAATTGGGAATCCCACTGCCGCTCGATGATGATATTCTCGGTCTCCTCTGTGTCCTCCTCTCCAGGGGATGACACTATCACAACCTCTCTGGATGCAGTCATCTTCGACCTGAAAGCGCCCGGACGATGTACCTCCGCCTTGAGTCGCCATGCCATAGACCCATAGTCACACTCGATTGTCGGAGGTGAGTTTGCGGGAATTGTGAACGAAATGGGATAAGTGTAAGTACCTATATCGGATCAATCCATGTTGGTAAATATCATTTACTAATGATGTAACGTAACACCAGCTGCACAGGCTTAACGTACCTTTCTTGAACTCTTTCCAGCCTTCACCGCTATCCTTACGCTCGTCACTTTCCAAGCCTAGCATCTCTCCGACTTTCCCTAGAGTCGAACGCTCTTTGTGTTGCACTGGCATTCGATTGGCATCATGAACCCTTGCCTTTCCTTTGTCTAATGTTCTTCCCCTTTCTTTGTCTCGGTGCATGTCCAGGCTGCGCCCATGCCTTCGTTGTTCAGTTGCCACGAAACTTCTGGGAGAGCTGGATCGCACACGATCCTTGACAGCACCCATGAATACGCTCGACACTGCAGCCAGGCTGAAACGTGTGTGTTTCCTCCCACGTCCCTCATCAGGGCTTTCTGGCGAATTGGCGTTAACCTTAGATGGAGTGGGAGACAACGTGACTGGCGACTGCAAGTAAGAAGCCGGAGGCGACGTCATACTCATATTTAAGGTTGACTCGTCTTCATCCACGTTATCGATGCTAGGTCTGCGCGAGAGTGACGTATCTCGGTGCGAATGAATGCTAGAGGCAGATGATGACGGGGGATTCTGAAGGATGTTACCCTGTGCATGCAAGGAGGGACCTAAACCGACAATATTGGTGAGCTTGACCTGTTTTTGTGAATATTATTGCGCATATACGAACTTGTTTTTCCAGATTCAAGGTTTCTCAAAGCCTGGCGGAGATCTTCGAGCGTCTGAGCCGGGTTATCATCCAGTCTTCCAAGAGGCCATACTTGAGGGCAATTTGTGGGAAATGAATTGGTATGTGATGGCGATAATCCGGGACGACCATCAAACACAAATGATGAATGCGCGGCTGGGGTATAAGGCGGAGAGGGCAGAGAATGCTCCTGGTGTGAATGGATCTCTCGGTGCAAAACTGCGTTGTCGGCGCTTACTCGACGTGACGTCCTCACATGCTCACTAGTAGCTGGATTGGCGCTAACAGCACGAGTGACAGTAGGCGATCGAGCCATGACGGGTTCTGTCTCATTACGGGGTGTAGCCGTGGCGCTACGACGCGCAGGTGTGTGTATTTCATCCTCGTCATGGTCGTGCTGCAGGAAGAGCCCTGGCCCTACGGATGCTGTGCGTCTCGTGGAGGGTGTAGAGCCAGCACGGAAGAAGACGGTAGATGCAGAAAAGATTTTGTGGGACTCTGTTACCTCGATACGGCGCGCGCCAACCCCTGTGGCACAGCAAAAGTATAAGTGTATATCAGACAGATGCAGGGAAACTAGCTACCCTCTGGCCAGGATGTCGTCACTTTCCCCTGCAGCTCAAGCTCGATACTGGATATCCTGGTTGGCTTCGCGATGTTCAAGGTGAGCAGTCCGCGAATCATTGAAGGCGCTACATCGTCCTGTGTGCGTCGCCTTCCTGTGGGGTCATTAGTGCGCAAGTAGACGACAGACTCTGTAAGACGGATGGCAAGGGTGTTCTTGTCGCTACGTATTTTTGACATGGGTGAAGAAGGAAAGAAAGGGTTGTGCAGCACTCGAGACGAGTCAGAAAGATATAGTTTTTGCTAGACACCGAAGTGGCAAGCGATAAGGAGCAGAACCCCGTTGTATGAATATATAATGAGACAGCAGGCGGCCTGCAGGTCAATAAATAAGAGTTGGATGAAAAGAACAGCCTGTCGCGGAACTGGACTGTCAGAAAACGGAGCTCTGGCCTGTGGTGGATGTGACTCTCAGTCCCAAGTGCGAGTTACTAGTTCCGAGTCATCCATTTCGCTGCTTTCGTTCCTGGTTATCATCGTCGGACCGGCGGCCATTTGATCCGCTCGGCCGAATCTGCACGTGCCACAGCAATCAACGTGCACCGCTGCCCATGGCCTGTCACTCCAATGAAAAAATAGGTCGCTCAGTCGCGAGGAGGCTCTATGCACAGCAAGAAATGTCATATCTATGGAGTACAAGTGGGAAAAACACATGCTTGTAGGGCGGGAAATGGCTGTCGATATTATATGCCACCTCCAAATTATCATCAATCGGGTACGGTACAGCAATTGCAGGTGAAAATAGGACAAGACAACTGGCGATATCGCCGAATGCATCCTACGGATCTCAAACCATAGTCCAGACCTCGTAGCATCGCCATCATCGAATGCGCAGGCACCGGTCATACAAACACGATCCATAAACCGGCCACCATCGACCCTCCCAAGCATGTTGTGCCAAAGATGCTGACAGACAGCGGATGTAACGCCCACGCGTACAGGATGATCCCCGTTATGCACAACACAAATCCAATCGCGGCCAGTGAGATACACAGCGTGTGGAAGCGACTTAAAAGGTGAGATGAGGCAGCACGCCGGAACAGTCCAACCTGTTCGATATGCGGGTTCTTCGACAAAATGGGCGGTTCCGGAGAAGTATCCCTGCGTTTTGGAGCCTTTTTGTGGCTCCCATGCTTCCTGTCATCAGAATCGTCAATGACTTCAGGAGATTCGCCTCCTTTCTCGATATCTCTCTCCATATCTTTGCTCGTGATGGACCCCGGTACTGGAGAGGCCGTGATAACTTCGATGCCTTCAACTTTTAATTCTTCCTTCGTCGCTTCTTCCAGTTTGTAATTGATCAAAAGGAAAGCTGCAAGAAAAGAGAGAATAGCTGTACGTTCCAACAAAGGTGAGCATGTTTTCAAGCTCCAATCAAATGTGCTAATATAGAAACAGACCGGAATATACGTGTACGACCAGTGCTCCGACCAACACCGCGTTGGAACCTCTCAACACTAAATTACCAGCACCATCGTTATCGCGCGTCGGGGTAGTCATGGCCAAGAGGCCGGTCTCAATAGATGCAAAGAATGTGGTCTAAAAGGCGCATATATGCCACCTGTGAATCAGCTATTGGGTCCCAGTCATCATTCCACTTACGATGACGCTGATGAGCTGCAGCCTCTCCTGCCACGAGTTCACCAAATCCTTCTGGGCCCTCTTCCGTGCCCTCTCGTCTGCCTCATCTTGATCTTTTTGTGTGCCTGCAACAACATTATATCACTCAACGTCAACAGGTTGGGCCCGGTGGCGACCTACGTTTGCGGGTGGGAGGGTAAAGATCTACTTCGGGTTGATCATCCTCTGGGTGAGTCCTTGTCAACACAAGCCTCATGAGCGCACTGCTAGGCTCTGTGCGTGACCTCGGAATGCCACTGTCTATTCGTAAAGGTTCTGCATAGATGAACACGCCATGTCTGAGAACGACTCTTTTACACGCATAGCAACCACACTCGTGCTTACCGTGACCATTAACATTAACTCTCATCGCTGCCATTGTTAAACGTTAAAATTCGTGGGTCGTGCAGGAGAGAATGAGAGGAAAGCAAGATGAGAGTGCAAATAGAAAATAGTGGGGTGATTACTTGATTGAATATTTTTTTTATATAGTAAGGAAGACGGTGAAACGGTCTTCTTGGCTTGTCACATCGAAAGGAGCCACGTCTGAACTGCAACAAGCATTTATAATATATTTTTTCGCGGGCGTCTTTCGTGTTTGCTTAGTTCATTTCTCCAACGGAACCGGAACCTTTTCACGGCTGTGAATGAGCGCTCCACTGCTTTGACACCACCTGAGCGCTGAGCTTGAATACGCCCTCTGTGCTCTTTCCAACTTGAAGCTCGAAGGACTGGTTCTGCTGCAACTACCTGCTGACTTTCCAGGGCGGGAATGCATGCACAACGTACTCTTCAAGCCCATCTACAACACACATGTTACTCCAGTCCCACTGGTCAAGGGTTCCGTACGACATCCACGGTGGTCTTTGTCACCACAGTGCGCAGCCGCTCCTGTGTTTTCTCCAACCTTTCCATCATTTTATGGCGCCTCGTTCATTGATGCCAAGCTTAGATGATGCTACTAGTGCAGAAGACGCTCCTTGGGTTATGGTGCTTTTACGTGAAGGAATTTCAACTGATTCCCCGCCAAGTTAATTTCCTTCCAAGTGGTCAATGCCCACCGGACAGCATTGTGAATCACAGTCAAGTCTGGTATCGCATTTTCTTCGGAGATCCAAGCGTTGCGAAAAACCAGGCCGAAGAAAATCCTCCGATTTCTCGATCGATCATATTTAGCACGGATAGGGGGATTTCGCAAAGTAACACACGCAGTTCTGTACATCAAGCCCGTGTCCTCGACTCACATAAATCCGTCAAGAAAGGATTTGTTGACTTCGCCGCCCGGTTCGAATTTATTTTGCAGGAACTCTCACGTAGTCACGTCAACTTGATGCTCGGCCTCCTTTACTCAGGCTCCACCTTTAGTTCTCTGGACAAGGTCGGATGTATCAATACGCCGTGCCTGTGTTACACCATCTGCTTCGAATTGATGATGATATGGTTGTACGGGCCCCTGGTTCTCATGTATGTCAGCTATTAAGACTTGTGCCTACCAGACACTGTAACATATATAAGTTTACCATGATCTTCCAATAGAGTCTCGTCTGTGATGAGCATCCGCTTTATCATACGGTGGATGATTGGTTACGGCTCAACTTTCGAGCCCGGCCAATGTCCGGCATAATATTTTTCAAAATCCGATGTACCTTCAGCTATTATATTTGTATTTAGCAAAATTCGAGCAAGGCCTTTGATGGGCGATCAACGAAAATACATTTTAATTAATTTCTTTGATCCAGCGAGTGTGATTTGGGCAAAAGCCAGTGTGATGAGAGATCGAGCGAGCGTGCAATTCAACATGTCAACATAGGATTTCAAGCGATACAGTAAGTACATGTCATGTAAAAAAAAATCCCTCTCAGCCACGAACACGACTGGACATGATGTCAATCTCTTGTGATGTTCTCATCTTTGTAGCCGAACTCTGTGAAAAAAGAGGTGACATGAGATGTAGTAGAAAGGATCCATCAGAAAAAGAAAACATACTGCTGTCTGCAAGGAAGGGAGTCCGAAATATACACAATACTGGTTGCATTTGTGCAACAAGGGGAAGTTGTCTAACGTCGCCGTCCAGTTTCCTTCGCCAAAATTATCGGCAAAGTCTCTGGGAAAGGATGAGAACCAACCACATGGAGGTAATAGAGCCTTACTTGGTAGTGATAACCTGGCAGTCAGTCAATATTCCACCGGACCCTGACAAGTCAAATGTAAGTACGAAAAGGAAAGCAAAAGAGACTAGCTTATATTAACTTACCTTGAAAATCTGAGATGAACACAAGGCCTTGCGAGAAATGATATTGAGTGTGTTGTGCGAAGCATAGGAAGGTGCAATCTCGG